AGGGGTCAACGAGGAGAGAGGGAGCAAGCCAGAGAGCGTGAGCAGGCAAGCGAGAACGCAGGTGAGAGGCTGCAAATGAGAGGGCCAGGCTCAGCGCTCTCCATGCCTCTTACGCACTTCCAAAAGGGGAATGGTTACATAGTCTGACTGACAGATAGGTAAAGGTGAGATTACATGGGGGCAAGGGTGGGTGTGGCCTCCAGCTCATGAACCTGATCTATCTCCCTGAGCAGGCTCATATCACCATGACTTCGATTTAGTATGCTTTCTGAAAATGAAAATTCACACCTTTCATCAGTTTTGGAAAAATCTTAGCCTCTTAATTTTTTGCATATTTCCCCATTCTCTCTTCTTGCCCTTTCAGAGAATGCTGTATTTTTTTTCTATTGTTCAGATATATTATGTGTTACACACTACTAATATATATTACATATATTCATCAATTTTTGTCTTTTTGTTATATTCTGAGAAAATAATTCAGCTTTATTTTTAGTTTGCTAATTTATAAGTGCCTAATTATTGGGTTTTTAAATTCAATTATTGGGTTTTTAAATTCAATTAAATATTCATATATAGATGTTTTAATTGATTATTAAGCTAATCTCAAAATTAATGATAGTCACTTGTTCCTTAAACATATATTCAATATTCTTTTGTTTGTATAACAATATAATACAATCTTTCTTTTTTTCCCAAAGAAACTTTTTATTTGAGGAATACAAGCTTCTTGCATTTCTTAAGTGCAAGGTTAGGTATATAGTGATTCTTCCCACATGCCTGCTCTGCCACCCACTCTCTTACCTCTCCTACTCCTCCCTCTCCCATTCCCAGTCCCATTCTCCACTAAGATCCATTTTCGGTTAACTTTATACACAGAAGCCCATTTCTATACTAAATAAAGACTTCAACAATTTGCACACACACACACACACAACAAAAATTATTCCTCAACAATCAGGACAAGGGCTGTCAAAGTCATTACATCTTGAAGTTAGTTTCACTTTTTTTTTGAAACTTAATTAACTTTAAACAAGTACCCATGAATGATACACTTTTTTTTTTTTGTGAGCACTTTGACATAATTATAATACAACTCTTTGAGGACAGAGGTCCTGCATGGGAAGTTAGTGCACAGTGACTCCTTTTGTTAATTTAACAATTAACATTCTTATGTATGACATCAGTGATCACCTGAGTCTCTTGACATGAGCTGTCCAGGTTATGGAAACCTTTTGAATCCACAAACTCCATCAATATTTAGACAAGGCCATAAACAAAGTGGAAGTTCCCTCCTCCCTTCAGAGAAAAGTACCTCCTTCTTTGATGACCACTTCTTGATGACCGAGTTCCTTCATGTAAGACATTTTTTGCCACAGTGTCTTAGCTTTCCATGCTTGAAATGCTCTCATGGGCTTTTCAGCCAGACCAGAATGTCTTAAGGGCTGATTCTGAGGTCAGAGTGCTATTTAAAGCAATTGTCATTCTATGAGTCTGCTGTGTGGACTGCTTCCCATGTTGGAGCATTCACTCTTTTTTAAGTCTATCTATTATTATTACCAGATAGTTAATCCTATCCATATGATCACTTTAACACTTAAGATGTTTTACTTAAGATGTTTTACTTAAGATGCCTAACACTTAAGGTGTTTTAAATATCCAGCTTAAGGGGGACTTGGGATCCCATGGGGAGTTTTAAACTGTACCTTTAGAAGTAAGTCTATAGGAATATATGCAGAACTATACAGCTTTACAGTTACAAATTTCATACACTGCATAATTACAACTTTAGGAACATGGTGGTTCTTCCCATCATGCCTACCCTCCCACCCATACTCGCAACCCTTTCCTCCTCCCTCTCTTATTCCCACACTTATTTTTTTTTTACTGAGATCTATTTTCAATTAACTTTATGCACATATGTTTAATTCTATGTTAAGCAGAGTTCAACAAATATTATTAAAAAAAACTGTTCCTCAACAATCAAGACAAGGGCTGTTCAAGTCATTGCTTCTCAGTATCAATTTCATTTCTACAGATTGCATTTTAGGTGCTCTATTAGTTATCACAGGTCAGGGAGAACATATGGTGTTTGTGCCTTTGAGACTGGCTTATTTCACTGAGTATGATGTTTTCCAGATTCATTCATTTTGTTTTAAATGACCAGATTTCATTTTTTTACTGCTGGGTAGTATTCCATAGTACACATATCCTATAATTTCTTTATCCAGTTAAGTTGATGGGAATTTGGGTTGGTTCCATGTATTAGCTATTGTGAATTGAGCTGCAATAAAAATGGGGGCACAGATAACTCTTTCATATTAAATTCCTAGGAGTGGGATGGCTGGGTCATTTGGTATGTTTATATTCAGATTTCTGAGGTATCTCCATACTGTCTTCCATAGTGGCTTTAACATTTTACATTCCCACCAACAGTGGATTAGAATACCTTTTTCCTCACATCCTAGCCAGCATTTGTTGTTTGTTGATTTCTGTATGAAAGCCATTCTAACTGAAACCTCATTGTCATTTTGATTTGCATTTCCCTGATGGCTAGTGATCCTCAGCATTTTTTCATTTGAATTTCCTCTTTTGGCCATTTGGATTTCCTTTTTTTGAAAAATGTCTATTTAAATCCTTTGCCCATCTCTATATTGGGTTGTTTGTTTTGTTGTTGTGGAATTCTTGATCTCAATATATTCTGGTTATTAATTATCAGTTGCATAGTTTGCAAATAATTTCTCCCATTCTTTCAGTTGCCTCTTCACTTCCCTGAGTGTTTTTTTTTTTGCAGTACAGTGTTTCTTTTGCAGTCTCAATTTGATGTAATCCCATTTGTTAATTTTGGCCTTGATTTCTTGAGCCTCTGGGGTCTTTTCCAGGAACTCTGCCTATGCCAGTGTCTTACAGGGTTTCCCCAATGTTCTCTAATAATTTGATGGTGTCAGGTAACAGGTTTATATCTTTAATCCATTTTGAGTGGGTTTTTGTTTAAGGTATAAAAATGTAGGGTTCTTGCTTCATGCTTCTGCATGTGGAAATCCAGTTTTCCCACATCATTTGTTGAAGAGATGTCCTTGCTTTAGGGATTAATTTTAGCTTCTTTTCAAAGATAAGTTGGTTGTAGATGCCTGGGTTGATTTCTGGTGTTTCTATTCTGTTTCATTGATCTAACTGTTTTGATTATAACTGCCTTGTAGTATGTCTTGAAATCTGGTATTTTGATGCCTCTGGCTTTGTTTTTGTTGTTTAAGATTACGTTAGCTATCACTTCTGCCTCCCAGGGTCTGCATTATCAAGAAGCTAGAATCAGGGACTTGAGCCAGGAGAGCAGATTCCAGGCACTTTGATGTGAGGTGCAGATGTTCTGTCATCTCCTTTTGCTCTCCCTCCTCTTCCTCATTCTTCTTCCTTCCCTTCTTTTCTTTAAACTTTCATTTAATAAATACAAATTTTGAAAGTACAACTTTTGGATTATAGCGGCTTTTCCCCCCATAACCTCCCTCCCACCTGCAACCATCCCATTTCCCACTCCCTCTCCCATCCCATTCTTCATCAAGATTCATTTTCAATAATCTATATCCTCCTCTTCTTTTTAAAAAATTATTTATTTATTTGAAAAAGCGAGAGTGAGATCAAGTTTGAGATCTTCAGTCTGCTGGTTCACTCCCCAAATGACCACAACAACCAGGTCTAAGCCAGGCTGAAACTCAGTACCAAGAACCCCATGTGGGTCTCTTACATGGGTGGCAGAGGCTTAAGCACTTGGGCCATCTTCCTCTGCTTTACCAGGTGCATTAGTAGGGAACTTAATTGGAAGTGGAGCAGCTGGGACTTGAGCTGGCAATTTGATATGAGATAAAGACATTGCAAGCAGTGGCTTTAGTCACTGTGCCACAACTTTGGCCCCCACAGCTGGCTTCTTAAGCCCTAGGCCAAATATCTGCTCCCACATCCTTCTGTTGACATAAGTCCATTATTCCCCAAAGATGCTAGTATTTTGATCTGCTTATCCCACATTCTAGGCAACCTGAGCAGAGATCAAACGATTGTAACATTTAAAGTACAAAGGTTGTAGAAAATGGTCAAATTCAGCCTCTTATATGTTGTAGAGCAGCATGCTTTCATATTTTCAATTTGAATGCCTTCAAATATTCCTTAATTACTCACAAAAATTAGCCTAACCATCTACTATGTGCCAGATACTACTCTAGGCATTAGGGAACCAGTAAAAATAAATAAAATAAAACCAACAATCAAAGACAAACCCCAGGGACCTCAGAATCTAGAGGAAGATGGCTTTTCTGTTCTCAGGTGCACTCTTGAATAGGTTATTCAGTTCAAAATCAAATGCCTGTTACTTGTATCCCCTGTGAGTTGAAGTAACCAGACACCACTCAACAGGCAATGGGACAACGTTCGTCTCTTTTCCAGGGATGTGTGCTGGGTGAGCTGGATGCATCATGGAGTACTTGTCAGTCCTCAAATATAAAACTAATGGATCCTACAGAAATGTTTAATTTCCTTTTCTGGAGATAGGGATAAATCTCACTTTACCCTAATGTGTAGCTCATCCCCATCAGGAGTCATTTTTTTTTTTTCATCCACTACTAGGAACAGGAATTTATAACCTTTAGTGGATAAGAATTTTCTAAGGAGTCATCTACTTTCCTCAGGTGCTATGAGTTTTGTGGGAAGCTAAAGGAAAGTATATAAAACATTTAGTGGGCAATTACATTTGAGACCAAAAACACAGTGCAAGTCAGAAATGCACGACCCACACAGGCTGGTGCAGAAAGTATCTCTGTGGCACTGAAATGGGTTGTGACTTACATTGCCATATGATTTTTGAAAAAGCCACCTGATATCCATAGCCACACCACAGCTATGAACCACTCCAAAGATCCAGAGTGAAGGAAAAATTGAAAAACCCCTCTGGATGGGGGGAATCTAGGCTGGCATTTGCCAAGATATCCCATGGAATGTTTGTTTTAATTTTTAAGATTGGAGAGACGGAAAAGATACATCAGTACTTCCAAAAGTTTCTGACTGAAATAAGCAAACTCAGTAATGAATATGAGCTGAACATAACCAACAGGCTGTTTGGAGAAAAAACATACCTTTTCCTCCAGGTAAGTTTTGTTGAGTTCACATCTATGTGTCAGTCATGAGGGGCCACAAGGTGCAATTAGGACCCTGTGTCTGGCAGCTGATTCCGTTTGCTGCTTGGCTGAGCCCATATCATTGCTGAGCTCTTGGCTTGCTCTTCAGACATTGAGAACCTTTGGGGACTTCTCTTTAGTTCTGGAAATCTGGATGTCATTGTACGTGCATAAAAATGTGCATGGAAATACTCAAAGTGATTTGCCAATGGCTGTCTCATGACATTCATTGCCCTAGTATACAGATACATTTATTTAAAGATGTTGACATTGATAAGTTGACTTTTCAACCTCTTTCTGTTCCTTTCCTGTTTCTTCTAAAGAAATACCTAGATTATGTTGAAAAATATTACCATGCATCTTTGGAACCTGTTGATTTTCTAAATGCAGCAGATGAAACTCGAAAGAAGATTAATTCCTGGGTCGAACTCCAAACCAATGGTAGTGTATGAGTGGGTCGTTTATCATAAAAACTTCTTGATATTTGATTTGAGTGCAGCCTTGGGCTTGTCTCTGCATTGCGTGCCAGATGGATAAGCTGTGGGAGGGGATATGAGATGGGTTTTGGAGGGATGAAAGGGCAAAGCTGGGCATGGGGATGGGAGGACCCACAGATGGTGGAATGGTCTCAGCAAATATGGAGAGAGCCAAGGGGACCAGGAGGGGACTATAGAAATCAACTACCTGGAAACACTTTGTGGAAAATTGTTTGCACATGCCTGTAAATCAACATATCTTTGGGGTTTCTGAAACTGAGCTCATTTTCTTCTTGGGTTTGCACTCTTTCCTTTATGTCAGAGCCTATCTTTGTGAGTCTGAGTCCCTGTGTGAAAACATCATAGGAAATACCCTTCATTTTTATTAAGTAAGAAACATACAGCTCTGCCATCAAGACCTGTGTTTGCTGCTTCCATCTGGGACACGCAGGCCTCCTCTCCACTGGAACATCACACAGGATGGTAACAGCTTTCAGGTCCAACCACAGCAGACAATGTGATGCATGCTTGACCCCATTCTTTTTTTTTTTTTTTTAAAGATTTGTTTATTTAATTTGAAAGGCAGAGTGATAGAGAGAGAGGAAGAGACAGAGAGATCTTCCATTCTCTGGTTCATTCTCTGTATGGCCACAACAATCAGGGCTGGTGAGGGCCAAAACTGGGTTCCTGGAACTGCACCTGAGTTTCCCACATGGGTGGCAGGGACCCAACTACTTGGGGCATCTTCTATTGCTTTCCCAGGTACATTATCAGGGAGCTATATTGAAAACAGCATAGCTGGGACTCAAACTGGCACTCTGATACCTGATGCAGGCATCTTAAGCAGTGGCTTAACACACTATGCCATTGGGCTGGTCCATCCATTCTCCTCTTCTGATCCCCCTTGTATGAGCCACATGTATGACATACATGAGAGGAATGTTTATATGAAAATACAGATAGTCTGTTCCAGATTACAATTTTGTTCCAGTTATCAGGGAGATTTCTATTTCAGAATATATTTTTCCTTCATGCTTAGTCCAAAGAAGAAAAATTGAAATAAGCAGAATAAAAGGGATCTATCAAAAGATTGGTTGAACAGCATTTTTTTTTGAAATTTTATGTATAGCTAAAATTCAGAGACAAAAATATTAACTCTTTTTCCAAGGATGTAAATCATCTCAAAATATTAAGGGATAACCACAGTGAATGGGTAAGAATAATAATGACCAAAACCGAGTGCTCACTGTGTGACAGATAGTATTCTATGTGCTGAATGCATTTTAATCTTTTGCTATTTTCCACCAGCCTATGAGGCAGGTTTTATTCCTTATTTTGCAGACTGAGGCACAGAGCACTCAAATAAATTTGCGAAGATTCCTCAACTGATAAGAGGAAAAACTGGATGCCAATCTGATCCCAGAGCCTGGACACTTAACCATCAATTTCAATGTATGCAATGGGGTAAACAGGCAATAGGCAAAGTGAGAATATCCAGTGACTGGCAGTGAGTCTTTGTGGCAAGGCCTTGGATGCTGACCTGGCTGGCTGTTTAGTGATCCAGCTCCTCTGCATCACTTCTGCCACACACTGAATTTGTAATATGGAAGATGAACCAATTTTTTTTCATTTGTTCATTTGCAGAAAATATCAAGGATTTATTCCCAGATGGCTCTCTAAGCAGTGCCACCAAGCTGGTGCTGATCAACACAGTTTATTTTAAAGGGCAATGGGACAGAGAGTTTAAGAAAGAAAATACCAAGGAGGAAAAATTTTGGCTGGATAAGGTATGGTCATTTTTATGTAATGTCATTGCATGTGGAGTGTGAAATGTAAAGTCATGTTTGAGCAAATGTATACTAAAAGACAGTAAATGCTCATTCTGAGACTGATCTTCAGCAAGCATTATTTTAGATTGACCTAATTACTTTGGAGAGCTAACCTGGTTGCCTTATGCCTTTTGACCTTGTGTGCTTTGTTAATGTGTTGTAGAGTACAAGCAAATCTGTGTTGATGATGACACAGTGCCATTCCTTCAGCTTCACTCTCCTGGAGGATTTGCAGGCCAGAATCCTGGGGATTCCATACAAGAACAATGACCTCAGAATGTTTGTGCTTCTGCCCAATGACATAGATGGCCTGGAGAAGGTAAGCACTGCATCTCCCTGTTCTTGCATTCATTGCCTGAGGTTTGTTCTCGATGAGCTAACGTACGGGGCTTCAAGCAGGAGTTGTGACTGGTAGAGCCGGACAGACATCATTTTTCATTGTGTGCATCAGGTACTGATAGTTGGCTAAAGAGAAACCTTCAATGGTATTAGGTTTACTGAGAACTGTCTAATCAAAATACTTTGAGATGACCTAAAATGAAGATTTATGATGCTATGGCAATTCTAGGAATCATCCCATTCTGAGAAACGATTGGATACCTCTGGGCTGCTTTTGTTGGGGTAAAATCACATGTTCACATACAGCAAACTTTGTATATTGTTCAGTAGGTTCTTGGGTCTTCAGAATTTGTTTCTTTGCCTCTCAATCTTGAACTTGTTGATGTGGTGCTACCCACTTAGTAGTTAAAAAATTAAAGTGGTAATGTCCTATATTGTGGAGATCAGGAAGTCTTTGCTTCAAATCCTGCTCCTCCAATAGTTTCTAACCATTGAGCTTTCTTAACTTCCTTGATCCCTGATATTTTATCATCTATAAATGGGGACAATGGAGGGAAGGATTATAAGAGTTTGAGAACACACAGCCTGTAGTGGGTCCATGACATGGATAGCACTCACTATAATATTATAATATTATAGTACCAGATGCTGGGCTGTTGCAGTGAAACTTTACTACTAACATTAAAAGTTGGAAAATATTTTGGGACAGCCAAATGACAATTTTTATGAGGGCTTTGAAATATCTATGTACTTACTCAAAAATTCAGTGTGAGAATTACCTCAAAATAATTCAGAAGAAAAAAATCACCTTTCTGAGCCAAATCAATAATTTTTGGCACTAAATACACTAAGATGCCTAGTTTGGGATGCATAATAATTATTATTACAACAGAGTAATCATCAGCATTTGTCATAATACCTAATGCATTTTAGATCTCTGAACAATGAATGGATAGATGACTATCCAATGTTTGTTAACTTATGGAAAGATTATTTAGCAGTTTGAAGATATTTTGGGAGATATGCAGTAGAGTAGAAGAAGGTAAATTATATAAAGTACAATAGACATTCACTGTGATTGCAAGTGTGTAAGTATACACGTGAGTATATGCATATAAATACTACAGGGGGATAGTTAAAAATAAAAAAGTCCTTGATACAATAAAAATGGATTATTTTTAGTTTTAAAAACTTATTTAATGATGTTGGATTTTCACATATACACAGATAATTAGAGAAATATAAAACAACAGTTTGTTACAGAGACAACAGTCAAATGAAATTTCTACTTTTATTTATTATTAAATGCGATAATTTCTGACAGATAAAAATCAATGCCACACTTAATATTTTATTAACAATCATACCATTCTGTGCTCTTTTTAAACAATAGATTATAAATAAAATAACTCCTGAGAATTTAATAGAGTGGACTAGCCCAGGGCATATGGAAGAAAGGAATGTGAATTTACACTTGCCCCGGATTGAAGTGGAGGGGAGTTATGATCTTGAACCTGTCCTGCCCGGCATGGGGCTGGAAGACGCCTTCAGTGAGTGCCAAGCTGACTATTCGGGAATGTGTTTACTCTCTGGGTTGCACGCCCAGAAGTTCCTGCACAGGGCCTTCGTGAAGATCACCGAGGAAGGCACCGAGGCTGCTGCTGCCACCGGAATAGGATTTGCTGTCACCTCAGCCTCGGGTTATGAAGATTTTCACTGCAATCATCCCTTCCTGTTCTTCATCAGGCACAATGAGTCCAATAGCATCCTCTTCTTTGGCAGATACTCTTCTCCATGAGGCAGGCATTGCCATAATATTGTTTCTCATCAATAAAACAACCAGCAGTGTTGATTTTTAATACAATAATGGATATTGCCCATTTTTTAAAATTTTGCTTTACTTGAATGCATTCTAATGTTTTTTTAACTTTTATTTAATAAATATAAATTTCCAAAGTACAGCTTATGAATTACAATGGCTTCCCCCCCATAACTTCCCTCCCACCCGCAACCCGCCCCTAACCCATTACCTCTCCCTTTCCATTCACATCAAGATGCATTTTCAATTATCTTTATGTATAGAAGATCAATTGAGCATATATTAAGTAAATATTTCAACAGTTTGCACCCACACAGAAACACAAAGTGTAAAGTACTGTTTGATTACTAGTTATAACATTAATTCACAATGTACAACACATTTAGGACAGAGATCCTACATGGGGAGTAAGTGCACAGTGACTCCTGTTGTTAACAAATTGACACTTTTGTTTGTGGCATCAGTAATCACCCTAGGCTCTTGTCATGAGTTGCCAAGGCTATGGAAGCCTTTTGAGGTCATCAACTCCGATCTTTTTAAGATAAGGTCATAGTCAAAGTGAAAGTTCTCTCAGCCCTTCAGAGAAAAGTACCTCCTTCTTTGATGGCCTGTTCTTTCCACTGGGATCTCACTCACAGAGATCTTTCATTTAGGTCTTTTTTTTTTTTTGCCAGAGTATCTTGGCTTTCCATGCCTAAAATACTTTCATGGGCTCTTCAGCCAGATCTGAATGCCTTAAGGGCTGATTCTGAGGCCAGAGTGCTGTTTAGGACATCTGCCATTCTATGGGTCTGCTGTGTATCCCGCTTCCCATGTTGGATCGTTCTCTCCCTTTTTATTCTATCAGTTAGTATTTGCAGACATTAGTCTTGTTTTTGTGGTCTCTTTGACTCTTAGTCCTATCATTATGGTCAATTGTGAACAGAAATTGCTCCTAGCACTAGTGAGATGGCATTGGTACATGCCACCTTGATGGGATTAAATTGGAATCCCCTGGCATGTTTCTAACTCTACCATTTGGGGCAAGTCCAATTGAGCATGTCCCAAATTGTACATCTCCTCCCTCTCTTATTCCCACTCTTATATTTAACAGGGATCACTTTTCATTAAATTTAAACACCTAAGATTAATTGTGTGTTAATTTACAGAGTTCAACCAATAGTATTAAGTAGGACAAAAAATACTAAAAAGGATAAAGTATTAAGTTGTTCATCAACAGTCAGGACAAGGGCTGATCAAGTCACTGTTTCCGATAGTGTCCATTTTACTTCAACAGGCTTCCTTTTTGGTGTTCGGTTAGTTGTCACCAATCAGGGAGAACATATGATATTTGTCCCTTTGAGACTGGCTTATTTCACTCACCATGGTGTTTTCCAGATTCCTCCATTTTGTTGCAAATGACCAGATTTCATTGTTTTTGACTGCTGTATAGTATTCTATAGAGTACAAGTCCAAAAGTTTCTTTATCCAGTCTGCTGTTGATGGGCATTTAGGTTGATTCCAGGTCTTAGCTATTGTGATTTGAGCTGCAATAAACATTAAGGTGCAGACAGATTTTTCGCTTGCCAATTTAATTTCCTTGGAGTAAATTTCAAGGAGTGGGATGGCTGGGTTGTATGGTAGGGTTATTTTCAGGTTTCTGAGGAATCTCCAGACTGACTTCCATAGTGGCTTAACCAGATTGCATTCCCACCAACAGTGGCTTAGTGTCCCTTTTTCTCCACATCCTCGCCAGCATCTATTGTTGGTAGATTTCTGAATGTGAGCCATTCCACCGGGGTGAGGTGAAACCTCATTGTGGTTTTGATTTGCATTTCCCTGATTGCTACTGATCTTGGAACATTTGGATTTCCTCTTTTGAAAAGTGTCTATTGAGGTCCTTGGCCCATCTCTTAAGTGGGTTGTTTGTTTTGATGTTGTGGAGTTTCTTGATTTCTTTGTAGATTCTGGTGATCAACCCTTTATCAGTAGCATAGTTTGCAAATAATTTTTCCCATTCTGTCAGTTGCCTCTTCACTTTCCTGACTGTTTCTTTTGCAGTACAGAAACTTCTCAATTTGATGCGATCCCAGTTGTTAATTTTGGCTTTGACTGCCTATGCCTCTGGGTCTTTTCCAAGAAGTCTTTGCCGGTACCTATATCTTGCAGGCTTTCTCCAATGTTCTCTAATAATTTGATGGTCTTGGGTCGTAGATCTAGATCTTTAATTAATGTTGAGTGGATTTTTGTGTAAGGTGAAATGTAGGGGTCTTGCTTCATGATTCTGCACGTGGAAGTCCAATTTTCCCAGCACCATTTATTGCATAGACTGTCCTTACTCCAGGAATTGGTTTTGTATCCTTGATCAAATATAAGTTGGCTGTAGATGTTTGGTTTGATTTCTGGTGTTTATATTCTGTTCCACTGGTCTATCCATCTTTTTCTGTACAAGTACCACACTGTTTGGATAACAACTGCCCTGTAGTATGTCCTGAATTCTGGTATTGTGATGCCTCCAGCTTTGTTTTTGTTGTACAAGATTGCTTTAGCTATTCGAGGTCTCCTGTGTCTCCATATGAATTTCAGCATCATTTTTTCCAGATCTGAGAAGAATGTCTGTGGTATTTTGATTGGTATCACATGGAATCTATAAATTGCTTTAGGGAGAATGGACATTTTGATGATATTGGTTCTTCCAATCCATGAGCATGGAAGATTTTTCCATTTTTTGTTACCCTCTTCTATTTCTTTCGTTAAGATTTTGTAATTCTCATTGTAGAGATCTTTAACGTCCTTGGTTAAGTTTATTCCAAGGTATGTAATTGTTTTTGTGGCTATTGTGAAAGGGCTTGATCTTAGCAGTTCTTTGTCAGCCATGGCATTGCCTGTTTTTACAAAGGCTATTGATTTTTGTGCATTGATTTTATATTCTGCTACTTTGCCAAACTTTTCTGAGTTCCTACAGTCTCTTAGTAGAGTTTTTTGGATCTCCTAAATAAAGAATCTTCTGCAATTTGTTATTGTGGTGTATCACATTGATTGATTGAGCACATTGAACCATCCCTGCATACCAGGTATAAATCCCACTTGGTCTGGGTGGATGATCTTTCTGTTGTGTGGTTGCATTCTATTGGCCAGAATTTTATTGAGGATTTTTGTGTCTATGTTCATCAGGGATAGTGGTCTGTAATTCTCTTTCAATGCTGCATCTTTCTCCAGCTTAGGGATTAAGGTGATGCTGGCTTCATAGAAGGAATTTGGGAGGATTCCCTCTTTTTCAATTGTTCTGAATAGTTTGAGAAGAATTGGAGTTAGTTCTTCTTTAAATGTCTGGTAGAATTGAGCAGTGAATGCATCTGGTCCTGGGCTTTTCTTTGTTGGGAGGGTCTTTATTACTGTTTCAATTTCTGTCTCAGTTATGGGTCTGTTTAGGTTTTCTATGTCTTCCTGGTTCAAGGTAGGTAGGTTACATGTGTCCAGGAATCTATCATTTCTGATAGATTTCCCTATTTTCTGGCATACAAGTGCTTGTAGTAATTTCTGATGATTCTTTTTATTTCTGTGGTGTCTGTTGTTCTTCTATCATATCATCTTCATAATCTTGAATTGGGGTGTCTGTTTCATTTGGGGGCATCATAGTGTCTTCCTTGTTTTTGTTTCTTGTTTCTTTGGTTTCTGTGTTTGTTGGTTGGCATTGTGGAGATATTCTTTGGTTTCTTCTTTTTTGTTTTCCTCGCTGTGGTGGTTTTTCTCATTATACTATGATTCTAGATTAAGTGTACTGTCTGCTTTTAAAGGATCCTTAGAGGCTTGTGATTGGTGTGGCCAGAGAGCTCTGTTTGATTCTTCAGTGTTAAGGGTGTGCCAAACGTGACACACCCATTTTAGGTGCGGTAAATCTCTCTCTCTCTCTCTCTCTCTCTCTCTCTCTCTCTTTATTCAGAAGGGAAGTAGTTCCACATAGCTGAGCTCTGGCCCCTGTGGGTATAATATCAGTCTGCTCTATCCCGAGGACCACACAAAGGATTTCAGTGCTGTGGGGAGCAACCCGGACTAGACTGAGTTACTGGAATTAAGACTTATTCTATGCATCTGCTCTCCCACAATATGGCGCTGAGAAGGGAGAAGCAGCTTCTACACAGCTGCCTCCAGTTCAACCAATAAACTGTAGGACCTGCTCCTGATTGGAGGAGAGCAGCGTACTCGGCGTGTGGGCAGCAGAGTTGGGATTGGCGGAAGAGGACTATAAAGGAGGAGAGAGACAACATGCACCAGGAACATCTAGGGGGAACATCTATCTGAAGGAACACCTGTGCAGTCCCCGAGAGAGCTGGCCGGCGGTGTGCTGCTCCCCCGCGGAAGTGGGGAAAGTGGCTAGGGGAACTGCCCTTCCACGGAGGTGGAAGGGATGGTAGCCAACCCAGGAAGAACCAGCAGCAAACCCGGGGAGGGCCGAGCAGACAAAAGAACAGCACAGGGTCCTGTGTCGTTCCTCCACGAAGACGGGGAGCGACACAGTGCAAGCTAAAATTCTCCTGCAGTCTCCCACCCAGTTGCTAAGGCTACCTAGTTTGTGTACTCTCCAGAGAGTACTCACATCTCAGGTAATCCGTGAATTTTCTCACACAACCTCAGTTTTTTTTTTTTCTTTCACAGTCTCAGTTCATTAGCTCCATGTATTCACTAATTCCTAACCTCCTGTTATTTCTCCCCACTAGAGACAGGTTTTTCTGCTTGGCTGATTGTGGTCAAAGCTTTTATGTATGTCCAAAATGGCGCCTGCTCTTTGTCTTGCTCACCTTTTTAAGGTGTGTGGAGAGAGAGCATCATGTCCGTACCAGTCCCTTTTGTTTATTTATTTTTTTCTCTCTTCTAGTTAGCCTGGTGAACTTTCCCCCATGGGGCTTCAAGCCTCGTTCCCTCTAGGCTCTTCCTGCTGTTTCCCTGCCAATGTCTCGGGCTACTGCAGTTTCACCTCACCTCCCTTTCCAGTGCTGGTGTGTAGACTCCATGACAGGGGTCCTGAGCCATGGGTGCCCTTGCCCTCCACGTAGGTCCAACGAGTCCCACTAGTTCTGGAAGAGTTTCCTCTGCAGTTTTTTTTCCCTATCTCTTCCCTGAAACTATAGTATCTCCACTTTTATTAAACTATCTTTTTCCAGAC